GAGTCGAATATAATTTCGCTGTAATTTACCCTTAAAAAATGGAGTTTACTTAGGCTTCCAGAGTAGACTTAATGATTATGCAGAACACTGTAAACCTTTAATTTATTAAAATGCCCTTGGAGTCTGCTGGGGAAGCAAAACCAGAGTGTGGAGCCACAGTGTGGCGGTGGAGGCAGCAGCAATGGGAGGCCATACAGCACCCTATGACAAAAATGGAAACCACCAGCAGTGTGAGGAGACCTGAAAGTGGCACATGGCAGAGTGTGGCGATAGAGACAGCAGCAATGGGAGGCCGTACAGGGACCCATGACACACTCTGGACCTGGCAGCAGCATGAGGAGGCGGTACAGGGGCCCATGGCAGATTACGGGCCTGGCAGCAGCATGAGGAGTCGGTACGGGGGCCCATGGCAGATTACGGGCCTGGCAGCAGCAATGGGAGGCCGTACAGGGACCCATGACACACTCTGGACCTGGCAGCAGCATGGGGAGGCGGTACAGGGGCCCATGACAGATTACGGGCAGGGGCGCATGACAGATTACGAGCCTGGCAGCAGCAACTTGGACAGGAGGACGTTCAGCTTCTGCACCGTCTGGTGCGTGCTCGCAAACTGTTGTCTCTTGGAAACGGATTCCAAGAAAGACTGCTGACGGAATCCGTGAAGAGGAGTAGCAGGAGAAGGAGCATCTGAACGAGCGGAATATGCCAACAAGCGACAACAGGGGCCCATGACAGATTACGGGCCTGGCAGCAGCATGAGGAGTCGGTACGGGGGCCCATGGCAGATTAGGGGCCTGGCAGCAGCTATGGGAGGCCCGTAATCTGCCAGCACCCTATGACAAAAAATGGAACCCACCAGCAGTGTGAGGAGACCTGAAAGTGGCACATGGCAGAGTGTGGCGATGGAGACAGCAGCAATGGGAGGCCAGGGACCCATGAGAGACTCTGGACCTGGCAGCAGCATGAGGAGGCGGTATAGGGGCCCATGGCAGATTAGGGGCCTGGCAGCAGCTATGGGAGGCCCGTAATCTGCCAGCACCCTATGACAAAAAATGGAATACACCAGCAGTGTGAGGAGACCTGAAAGTGGCACATGGCAGAGTGTGGCGATGGAGACAGCAGCAATGGGAGGCCGTACAGGGACCCATGAGAGACTCTGGACTTGGCAGCAGCATGAGGAGGCGGTATAGGGGCCCATGGCAGATTAGGGGCCTGGCAGCAGCTATGGGAGGCCCGTAATCTGCCAGCACCCTATGACAAAAAATGGAACACACCAGCAGTGTGAGGAGACCTGAAAGTGGCACATGTTTGGGGCATGATTCATGGCGGATTTAGTCAGTTGTGTCAGGAACTGGTGGTTTGAAATCCAGACTAATCCACGCCTGATTCATTTTCACAAACGTCAGTCTCTCCACACTTTGGGTGGACAGTCGTGTCCTCCGCGGAGTTGCAATACCTCCTGCCGCACTAAACACGCGCTCCGATGCCACGCTACTGGCCGGGCATGACAGCCTTTCAAGGGCAAATTCAGCTAGTTGGGGCCAAAGGTCAAGTTTCGTTGCCCAGTAGTCAAGGGGATTGTCTACCTCGGTTGGCAGGGTGCTGTCCAAGTAGGCCTAAGCCTGTTGTTTGAGGTCCTGCTCCAGGTCCACCTGATGCTGCTGCTGCTGCTGCTGCTGGCTGGTTAGTAGTTTCCTCACTGCGCTGGTGAAGAAAGCTACTCATCATCGACTGCAGACTGAGGCAGCCGCTGCTGGTGGAGCTGCCACTGCTCCTACCACCCCACCCCTCCCCTGCTGCCATGGCAGCGGAACGCGAGCGCACAGGGCCCACAGTGTCTGAGGATGGACGTTGGCGCAGACAGGCAGAGACCAGCTGACTACATAGGTGGTTTTTATAGTACGTTATTTTGGCCTCCCTCTCAGCAGGTGTGAAAAAGGCCACCATTTTTGAACGGTAGCGAGGGTCCAACAAGGTGGACAGCCAAAAGTCATCCCTCTGTCTGATGGTTATTATTCGGCTGTCGCTACGCAAGCAAGCGAGCATGCTATGGGCCATTTGTGCCAAGGAATGCGAGGGACTCCCTGCCCTCCATCTCCACAGCATACTGCCACGGTGCGTCTGGGTCCTCTGTCTCCTCCTCCTCCTCTCCTCTCTACCAGATGCTCCTGCTCCTCCACTCCTGTCCGCTGAGTGGAAAAACCACCCATTTCACTCAATCAATAATTCCTGAGCACCAATGTCCTCCTCTACCTCCTCCTCTTCTTCTTCCTGTCCTGCCCCCACAGGGGTCATGTGGCGTTGAGATCTGTGCGCCACGTCTACCGCACCCTGACCAGCCATTGTTAACAGCATTTGTTCCAGGACGTGCAACAGAGGAATGACGTCGTTCATCCCATAGTCCTGCCGACTCACGAATAGCGTGGCCTCCTCAGGGGCCTGAGCAAGGGCCTGAGCAAGCGCAGGTGTCACGCATGAGCTGCCAATGGCTGACATCTAAGTTACACACAGGAGTACCTTTATCCGCTTTTAACATCAGGAAATCTGTGATGGCCTTTCGCTGTTCGTAAAGGCGGTCTAACATATGTAGGGTTGAATTCCACCTTGTTGCAAACGTCACAGCATGAGGAGTCGGTACGGGGGCCCATGGCAGATTACGGGCCTGGCAGCAGCAATGGGAGGCCCGTAATCTGCCAGCACCCTATGACAAAAAATGTAACACACCAGCAGTGTGAGGAGACCTGAAAGTGGCACATGGCAGAGTGTGGCGATGGAGACAGCAGCAATGGGAGGCCGTACAGGGACCCATGAGAGACTCTGGACCTGGCAGCAGCATGAGGAGGCGGTATATAGGGGCCCATGGCAGATTAGGGGCCTGGCAGCAGCTATGGGAGGCCCGTAATCTGCCAGCAGCACCCTATGTCAAAAAATTCAACAAAAGCAGTGTGTGACACACCAGCAGTGTGTGAGGAGACCAGCAGTGTGTGGCGATGGAGACAGCAGAAAGTGGCCGTACATGACCCATGAGAGACTCTGGACCTGGCAGCAGCATGAGGAGGCGGTATAGGGGCCCATGGCAGATTAGGGGCCTGGCAGCAGCTATGGGAGGCCCGTAATCTGCCAGCACCCTATGTCAAAAAATTGAACACACCAGCAGTGTGTGAGGAGACCTGAAAGTGGCACATGGCAGAGTGTGGCGATGGAGACAGCAGCAATGGGAGGCCGTACAGGGACCCATGAGAGACTCTGGACCTGGCAGCAGCATGAGGAGGCGGTATAGGGGCCCATGGCAGATTAGGGGCCTGGCAGCAGCTATGGGAGGCCCGTAATCTGCCAGCACCCTATGACAAAAAATTCTACACACCAGCAGTGTGTGAGAGACCTGAAAGTGGCACATGGCAGAGTGTGGCGATGGAGACAGCAGCAATGGGAGGCCGTACAGGGACCCATGAGAGACTCTGGACCTGGCAGCAGCATGAGGAGGCGGTATAGGGGCCCATGGCAGATTAGGGGCCTGGCAGCAGCTATGGGAGGCCCGTAATCTGCCAGCACCCTATGTCAAAAAATTCAACACACCAGCAGTGTGTGAGGAGACCTGAAAGTGGCACATGGCAGAGTGTGGCGATGGAGACAGCAGCAATGGGAGGGGAGGCCGTACAGGGACCCATGAGACACTCTGGACCTGGCAGCAGCATGAGGAGGCGGTACAGGGGCCCATGGCAGATTAGGGGCCTGGCAGCAGCTATGGGAGGCCCGTAATCTGCCAGCACCCTATGACAAAAAATGGAACACACACAGCAGTGTGTGAGGAGACCTGAAAGTGGCACATGGCAGAGTGTGGCGATGGAGACAGCAGCAATGGGAGGCCGTACAGGGACCCATGAGAGACTCTGGACCTGGCAGCAGCATGAGGAGGCGGTACAGGGGCCATGGCAGATTAGGGGCCTGGCAGCAGCTATGGGAGGCCCGTAATCTGCCAGCACCCTATGACAAAAAATGGAACACACACAGCAGTGTGAGGAGACCTGAAAGTGGCACATGGCAGAGTGTGGCGATGGAGACAGCAGCAATGGGAGGCCGTACAGGGACCCATGAGAGACTCTGGACCTGGCAGCAGCATGAGGAGGCGGTATAGGGGCCCATGGCAGATTAGGGGCCTGGCAGCAGCTATGGGAGGCCCGTAATCTGCCAGCACCCTATGACAAAAAATTCTACACACCAGCAGTGTGAGGAGACCTGAAAGTGGCACATGGCATGAGAGACAGCAGCAATGGGAGGCCGTACAGTGGACCCATGAGAGACTCTGGACAGCAGCATGAGGAGGCGGTACAGGGGCCCATGGCAGATTAGGGGCCTGGCAGCAGCTATGGGAGGCCCGTAATCTGCCAGCACCCTATGACAAAAAATGGAACACACCAGCAGTGTGTGAGGAGACCTGAAAGTGGCACATGGCAGAGTGTGGCGATGGAGACAGCAGCAATGGGAGGCCGTACAGGGACCCATGAGAGACTCTGGACTGGCAGCAGCATGAGGAGGGCGGTATAGGGGCCCATGGCAGATTAGGGGCCTGGCAGCAGCTATGGGAGGCCCGTAATCTGCCAGCACCCTATGACAAAAAATTGAACACACCAGCAGTGTGAGAGACCTGAAAGTGGCACATGGGCATGAGACAGCACTGGCCGTACAGGGACCTGGACCAGCAGCATGAGGAGGCGGTACAGGGGCCCATGGCAGATTAGGGGCCTGGCAGCAGCTATGGGAGGCCCGTAATCTGCCAGCACCCTATGTCAAAAAATTGGAACACACCAGCAGTGTGTGAGGAGACCTGAAAGTGGCACATGGCAGAGTGTGGCGATGGAGACAGCAGCAATGGGAGGCCGTACAGGGACCCATGAGAGACTCTGGACCTGGCAGCAGCATGAGGAGGCGGTACAGGGGCCCATGGCAGATTAGGGGCCTGGCAGCAGCTATGGGAGGCCCGTAATCTGCCAGCACCCTATGACAAAAAATAAACACACCAGCAGTGTGTGAGGAGACCTGAAAGTGGCACATGGCAGAGTGTGGCGATGGAGACAGCAGCAATGGGAGGCCGTACAGGGACCCATGAGAGACTCTGGACCTGGCAGCAGCATGAGGAGGCGGTATAGGGGCCCATGGCAGATTAGGGGCCTGGCAGCAGCTATGGGAGGCCCGTAATCTGCCAGCACCCTATGACAAAAAATGGAACACACCAGCAGTGTGAGGAGACCTGAAAGTGGCACATGGCAGAGTGTGGCGATGAGACAGCAGCAATGGGAGGCCGTACAGGGACCCATGAGAGACTCTGGAGCAGCAGCATGAGGAGGCGGTACAGGGGCCCATGGCAGATTAGGGGCCTGGCAGCAGCTATGGGAGGCCCGTAATCTGCCAGCACCCTATGACAAAAAATTCTAACAACACACCAGCAGCAGTGTGAGGAGACCTGAAAGTGGCACATGGCAGAGTGTGGCGATGGAGACAGCAGCAATGGGAGGCCGTACAGGGACCCATGAGAGACTCTGGACCTGCAGCAGCATGAGGAGGCGGTATATAGGGGCCCATGGCAGATTAGGGGGGCCTGGCAGCAGCTATGGGAGGCCCGTAATCTGCCAGCACCCTATGACAAAAAAATGAACACACCAGCAGTGTGAGGAGACCTGAAAGTGGCACATGGCAGAGTGTGGCGATGGAGACAGCAGCAATGGGAGGCCGTACAGGGACCCATGAGAGACTCTGGACCTGGCAGCAGCAGAGGAGGCGGTATAGGGGCCCATGGCAGATTAGGGGCCTGGCAGCAGCTATGGGAGGCCCGTAATCTGCCAGCACCCTATGACAAAAAATTGAACACACCAGCAGTGTGAGGAGACCTGAAAGTGGCACATGGCATGAGTGTGGCGATGGCAGCAGCAGCAATGGAGGCCGTACAGGGACCCATGAGAGACTCTGGACCTAGCAGCATGAGGAGGCGGTATGGGGCCCATGGCAGATTAGGGGCCTGGCAGCAGCTATGGGAGGCCCGTAATCTGCCAGCACCCTATGACAAAAAATTGAAACACACCAGCAGTGTGTGAGGAGACCTGAAAGTGGCACATGGCAGAGTGTGGCGATGGAGACAGCAGCAATGGGAGGCCGTACAGGGACCCATGAGAGACTCTGGACCTGGCAGCAGCATGAGGAGGCGGTATAGGGGCCCATGGCAGATTAGGGGCCTGGCAGCAGCTATGGGAGGCCCGTAATCTGCCAGCACCCTATGACAAAAAATGGAACACACCAGCAGTGTGAGGAGACCTGAAAGTGGCACATGGCAGAGTGTGGCGATGGAGACAGCAGCAATGGGACCTGTACAGGGACAGCAGCATGGACCTGGCAGCAGCATGAGGAGGCGGTACAGGGGCCCATGGCAGATTAGGGGCCTGGCAGCAGCTATGGGAGGCCCGTAATCTGCCAGCACCCTATGACAAAAAATGGAACACACCAGCAGTGTGAGGAGACCTGAAAGTGGCACATGGCAGAGTGTGGCGATGGAGACAGCAGCAATGGGAGGCCGTACAGGGACCCATGAGAGACTCTGGACCTGGCAGCAGCATGAGGAGGCGTATATAGGGGCCCATGGCAGATTAGGGGCCTGGCAGCAGCTATGGGAGGCCCGTAATCTGCCAGCACCCTATGACAAAAAATGGAACACACCAGCAGTGTGAGGAGACCTGAAAGTGGCACATGGCACATGGCATGAGACACACTGTGGACCCATGAGAGCACCTGCAGCAGCATGAGGAGGCGGTACAGGGGCCCATGGCAGATTAGGGCCTGGCAGCAGCTATGGGAGGCCCGTAATCTGCCAGCACCCTATGACAAAAAATGGAACACACCAGCAGTGTGAGGAGACCTGAAAGTGGCACATGGCAGAGTGTGGCGATGGAGACAGCAGCAAATGGGAGGCCGTACAGGGACCCATGAGAGACTCTGGACCTGGCAGCAGCATGAGGAGGCGGTATAGGGGCCCATGGCAGATTAGGGGCCTGGCAGCAGCTATGGGAGGCCCGTAATCTGCCAGCACCCTATGACAAAAAATGAACACACCAGCAGTGTGTGAGGAGACCTGAAGTGGCACATGGCAGAGTGTGGCGATGGAGACAGCAGCAATGGGAGGCCGTACAGGGACCCATGAGAGACTCTGGACTGGCAGCAGCATGAGGAGGCGGTATAGGGGGCCCATGGCAGATTAGGGGCCTGGCAGCAGCTATGGGAGGCCCGTAATCTGCCAGCACCCTATGACAAAAAATTGAACACACCAGCAGTGTGTGAGAGACCTGAAAGTGGCACATGGCAGAGTGTGGCGATGGAGACAGCAGCAATGGGAGGCCGTACAGGGACCCATGAGAGACTGTGGACCTGGCAGCAGCATGAGGAGGCGGTACAGGGGCCCATGGCAGATTAGGGGCCTGGCAGCAGCTATGGGGCCCGTAATCTGCCAGCACCCTATGTCAAAAAATTGAACACACCAGCAGTGTGAGGAGACCTGAAAGTGGCACATGGCAGAGTGTGGCGATGGAGACAGCAGCAATGGGAGGCCGTACAGGGACCCATGAGAGACTCTGGCAGCAGCATGAGGAGGCGGTACAGGGGCCCATGGCAGATTAGGGGCCTGGCAGCAGCTATGGGAGGCCCGTAATCTGCCAGCACCCTATGTCAAAAATGGAACACACCAGCAGTGTGTGAGGAGACCTGAAAGTGGCACATGGCAGAGTGTGGCGATGGAGACAGCAGCAATGGGAGGCCGTACAGGGACCCATGAGAGACACTGGGACCTGGCAGCAGCATGAGGAGGCGGTACAGGGGCCCATGGCAGATTAGGGGCCTGGCAGCAGCTATGGGAGGCCCGTAATCTGCCAGCACCCTATGACAAAAAATTGAACACACCAGCAGTGTGAGGAGACCTGAAAGTGGCACATGGCAGAGTGTGGCGATGGAGACAGCAGCAATGGGAGGCCGTACAGGGACCCATGAGAGACTCTGGACTTGGCAGCAGCATGAGGAGGCGGTATAGGGGCCCATGGCAGATTAGGGGCCTGGCAGCAGCTATGGGGCCCCGTAATCTGCCAGCACCCTATGACAAAAAATGGAACACACCAGCAGTGTGAGGAGACCTGAAAGTGGCACATGGCAGGGGCATGATTCATGGCGGATTTAGTCAGTTGTGTCAGGAACTGGTGGTTTGAAATCCAGACTAATCCACGCCTGATTCATTTTCACAAACGTGAGTCTCTCCACACTTTGGGTGGACAGTCGTGTCCTCCGCGGAGTTACAATACCTCCTGCCGCACTAAACACGCGCTCCGATGCCACGCTACTGGCCGGGCATGACAGCCTTTCAAGGGCAAATTCAGCTAGTTGGGGCCAAAGGTCAAGTTTCGTTGCCCAGTAGTCAAGGGGATTGTCTACCTCGGTTGGCAGGGTGCTGTCCAAGTAGGGCCCAAGCCTGTTTGTTTGAGGTCCTGCTCCAGGTCCACCTGATGCTGCTGCTGCTGCTGCGGCGGCTGGTTAGTAGTTTCCTCACTGCGCTGGTGAAGAAAGCTACTCATCATCGACTGCAGACTGAGGCAGCCGCTGCTGGTGGAGCTGCCACTGCTCCTACCACCACCCCACCCCTCCCCTGCTGCCATGGCAGCGGAACGCGAGCGCACAGGGCCCACAGTGTCTGAGGATGGACGTTGGCGCACAAAGGCAGAGACCAACTGACTACATAGGTGGTTTTTATAGTACGTTATTTTGGCCTCCCTCTCAGCAGGTGTGAAAAAGGCCACCATTTTTGAACGGTAGCGAGGGTCCAACAAGGTGGTGGACAGCCAAAAGTCATCCCTCTGTCTGATGGTTATTATTCGGCTGTCGCTACGCAAGCAACCGAGCATGCTATGGGCCATTTGTGCCAAGGAATGCGAGGGACTCCCTGCCTCCATCTCCACAGCATACTGCCACGGTGCGTCTGGGTCCTCTGTCTCCTCCTCCTCCTCCTCTACCAGATGCTCCTGCTCCTCCACTCCTGTCCGCTGAGTGGAAAAACCACCCATTTCACTCAATAATTCCTGAGCACAAATGTCCTCCTCTACCTCCTCCTCTTCTTCCTGTCCTGCCCCCACAGGGGTCATGTGGCGTTGAGATCTGTGCGCCACGTCTACCGCACCCTGACCAGCCATTGTTAACAGCATTTGTTCCAGGACGTGCAACAGAGGAATGACGTCGTTCATCCCATAGTCCTGCCGACTCACGAATAGCGTGGCCTCCTCAAAGGGCCTGAGCAAGCGGCAGGTGTCACGCATGAGCTGCCAATGGCTGACATCGAAGTTACACAGGGGAGTACCTTTATCCGCTTGTAACATCAGGAAATCGGTGATGGCCTTTCGCTGTTCGTAAAGGCGGTCTAACATGTGTAGGGTTGAATTCCACCTTGTTGCAACGTCGCAGATCAGGCGATGCTGTGGAATTCCGTTCTGCCGCTGCAGCTCAAGGAGGGTGTGCTTTGCGGTGTAGGAATGGCTGAAATGCATGCAAAGTTTACGTGACATTTTAAGGATGTCTTGCAGTGGGATGGTGGATTTTAGGAACCGCTTGACAACCAGATTGAACACGTGAGCCATGCATGGCGCATGGCACAACCTTCCTTGACGCAGAGCAGACACCATGTTCTTTCCGTTGTCGGTCAACATGGTTCCGATTTTCAGTTTGCGCGGAGACAGCCATCTGTCGATTTCTCTGTTCATTACACTCAGAAGTTCCTCCCCTGTGTGACTACGTTCGCCAAGGCATACCAGGTGCAGCACAGCGTGACACCGTTGCGCCCTGCACATGTGATATGCCGGTCGGGTAATGGGACTTGGCACGGGGGTGGCGGCTGAGGACACACGGCGGAAGAAGAGGTGGTAGAGGCGGACATCTTTTGTGGACCAAGGACGTGCAAACGTGGAGGCAAAAGCGGCGTGACCTGTCCAAGTTGCTGGTGCGGCTGTGACGGCACCACGTTCACCCAGTGGGGCCGTAAATGACATGTACTGTCCCTGACCGTAGTTACAGCTCCACACGTCGGCGCTGCCGTGCACTTTGGCAGAGACCGACATGCTCAAAAGACTGGCCCACCATCTCTTCTACATGTGAATGCAGGGCTGGCACTGCCTTTTTGGAGAAATGACGGCTTGGCACTCTCCACCGCGGCGCGGCACAAGCCATCATTTCTCGGAAAGGTGCTGAGTCCACCACTTGGAAAGGGAGGGACTGCAGCACCAGCAACTTGGACAGGAGGACGTTCAGCTTTTGCACCGTCGGTGTGCGTGCTCGCAAACTGTTGTCTCTTGGAAACGGATTCCAAGAAAGACTGCTGACGGAATCCGTGAAGAGGAGTAGCAGGAGAGAAGGAGCATCTGAACGAGCGGAAGATGCCAACGAGCGACAACTCCCCTCAGCAGAGGTGTTGGAGCCTTGACTGGCTGATAGAGGGCGATTGACGTCGGGTGACGGAGCAAGTAACGGAGCGGGTGATGGAGCGGGGGCTGGGGCAGGCAGAACCGCCGTATCTTTATCACGGTTTTCCCAGGCCACCAAATGGCGACGCTGCATATGCTGACGCAACGCTGTAGTCCCAACATGGGCCCCCTGGCCACGCTTGACTTTCTGGCCACATAGTCGACATACGGCTACGTTTACTTCCTCGGGCGGCTTGACAAAAAATTGCCACACCGCCCGAGTAGGAAACTTTGCCCCCGATACTCCTCACTGGCTGACTGCTGATTCCTCCGTGCACACCGGCACCACTACTGGCCGTGGTGGTAGGCTGCAGTGGAGCTGGTGCTGTACTCCGTGGCCGTTTGCCTCCACTGACACTGCTGCGACCCTGCTGCCTCCTGGGCAACCCACCGACTGTTTTGCTCGCTGCCAAGCTGCCACCCTCTTCTCCTGATGATGCGGAAGCAATAGCCTGATGACGACGAGGCTGCCAAGTGCGATCAGCCTCATCATCATCAATTAGGGTCTCCGCCTCACTACTACTAGCCCCCTCGGCTGCGTGTGGGTCAGGAGACAGACCTGTCTCTAGACCGGCTACCGAGCCACTCTCCTCGCCACTACTTCTTCGCCTGGCTGCTGAAGAGGCGGATGTCTCCCCCCGTTCCTGACCGCCCTCTGTTAGCTCTTCCTCACTGTACAGTGGGGCTGAGCCCACAGCATGCGTTACTTCGCTTGGTGAGGGAACACCAAAGGACAGGGGCAGGTAGAGGACACGTGATTTCAGTGGGCTTGCTCCCGGGCCATGCCAACTAACGGTTGTGTCTGACGTACCCACCGACCGTTGGCTGTAGGTGTCAGAGGTGACCTGGGAAGAGGAAGACGACCGAGCCAACCAATCGATGACGGCAGGGTTGTCGGTGGAGACACGACCGCTGGATGACACCGGGAGCACTGGCCTCTGGCTGCGAATAGTGCTGCCTCGACCCCTTCCTCTGCTGCCACGTCTGCTCGCTCCTAAAACATTGCCTCCTCTGCCACTCCCTGAGTAACAATTCTGTGTCCCTCAGTAACAATTCTGTGTCCCTGAGTAACAAT